GCAAACATAGTTGGTAGGGGAGGGGGGGGGGGCGGCTAGTAGTAGTAGTAGTAGTAGTAGTAGTAGTGGTAGTAGTGGTAGCAGCAGCAGCAGCAGCAGTAGCAGCTGTTGTTGTTGCTGTACACAGGCTTGAAAAATAAATCACGGATAATACAATTCGGGATCTTTGTATCTTGTACCATCATTATATAAGGAATCCAGGACTACAACAAGTAATTAGTTCGGCTCCTTTGTTAAACGCTCCTATAGAGCACCGTAACATCCCAGTTACCCATTTCATTTTCCATGTTCCTTTCAATTAAATTCTCCATAATATTGGCAGTTCATAAGGCACACATTCCCAGTGTCCATTTTATGCTACATGTTCTTTTCCATTTGATTCTCCATGATTGGGGCAAAGTCCTCAACCCCAGACCATTAATCCTGAACTCCAAACCCCCCACACCTAAACCCCAGACCCCAAACCCTAAATCCCAAACCCTAAATCCCAAACCCTAAATCCCAAATCCTAAATCCCAAATCCCAAACCTTAAACCCCAAACACCAAATCCTAAACCCTAAACCCCAAACTCAAACCCTAACAATTATTTCGGCCCCCCCCAAACACAGGTTGCCAAGGCCCCGGGCGGTTGCGTAAGCAGAGGCAGGTGGAGGATTTTTCCTCCTGGCCTGCATTAAGAAGAAACCCTTGGCTAAGGTTTAGGGTTTAGGGTTAAGGGTTTGGGGTTTAGGGTTTAGGGTTTGGGGTTTAGGGTTTGGGGTTTAAGATTTAGGGATATGACCCCCCCATACTGGAGAACCAAACTGAAAAGAACATGGAAAACGAAAGGGAAACTGGGGCTATGTAGCGATGTATACTAGGATGCAAGCAAGATTTAGCAACCTCAACCCTAAAATTGGCACCTTAGTATCATCATATAATAGTGTCAGAGTCCTTCCTATAGCGCTGGGGTAACTAAAATCCCCTCATTGCTATGGAGCAAAAAAGGAATTTCCCTTGTGATGCACGAGTTGACAAAACTTCTTGCTTTGACTTACGTGACGTGGAGATGTAGGGCAATGCATGGCCAATCTGAGCTGGTCCATGGTTTGGGGTTGAGGGGGGCTGTAGCTTCCATTGGGAACGATGTAAGGTCCCTGACAGCCCAGAAACTTTGTTGAACCTCTGGAAAGATGCGGAAGGTCGAGGGCCTTACTTAAACGAGCAATAGCAAGTATGGCGCAGAAGCCTGAGTAGCTTGCAATAGCGGCGCCATATGTCTGGTCATATCGCTCCTTGAATTGCAGCGTATGGTACCAATAAGATAACTTAATTGGCTCGTGGAAGAGTATCTCGTTTACCCATTCTTTCACAACCCCAGAGGCTCGCTAAGCCCCTACACCTCTTAACCCTAAACCCCAAAACCCCAAACCCTAAACCCTAAACCCCTGAACCTTAAACCCCTAAACCCTGAACCCGTGCCAGGTGAGGCCGGTACCTCAAATGCTTTCTCCGCGGCTAGGGTTAAGTCGAAGTCCTGGAATAGGTCTGGGTACCTTGCTGGAGGCGTGAGCACTTGTCACTTATTCTGATTTCTTATGAGCTATAGTCTAAACTCCTAGTATCCCCATAATAACCCCTACAGTAGTCCTCTATTTATTCCACTATATAACTCCCTTGAAGGAGTTTAACCTAGTGCTCTTATGGTTTAGGGTTTCAGGTGTAAGGGTTTAGGGAGTTTCTGAAAGTTGGGCGCCGCTTTTCCAAGCACAACAAGACTATTCTCCTTACTAAACGAGCTTCAGAAAGGACCCATTCGTTGAGAAACTCCTCTCACATCCTGCACCATCATCGCTACGATCCAGGTCACAACCCGCACAAAACATCTGCAACGAAAATCTGCACCTCGACGCAGCTTGAGTATTCGCTTGGCTTCGCACTTGGAGGGATCTGCTAAAGATTCGGCCACAGCCTGCGCTCACCATCATGCTGATTTGTAATAGGGAAAGAAGGAGTAGAAAAGACAAGCAAACTACTGTAGGGTTTAAGGAATAGGGAAGAAAATGGAAACTGTTACGGGGCCGGCCAAAAATTTCTAATTAAAGGTGCTAGGAGGGTCTCGGCACCTAAATGCTGATATCATTTCAGTTTACACTTCACATTCCATTGTCTTTTCCTAAATCTCCAAAAGCCTGTAGAGGAGGGTCTTGGTATACAGAATTATACATAACCACAAGGGGAATGGAAGCTGCGCCTGGTTGACCTTTGCCAAGTCTGCTGTCCAAATCTGCACCTGACACTCTAGGGTTTAGGGTTTCGGGCTGGGAGTTTTAGAAACTTGGTGGCCCCTAGACATATATATATATATGCATATATGTACGCATATGTGTGGGTATGTTTTTGTAGTTTCTATAAAGAACGGACCTCAATATAGACGCCAAGACCGCGAAATGTGAGAGTCCTTACCATAGAAACCCCTCCGCACCCTAGGAACCCCAAAAAGTGACCCTACTTAATGGAAACCGCCATGTACGAGCGTATGTAAGTATAGTTCATACAATCTATCATCTCTTGACCAAGACAGACCCTGAGTGTGACAAACCCAAACCTCGTAGCTCTCAAGGATTTAAGGTTTAGGGCAGTTCACAAGAATCAAGATTCCAGAGTAGCAGCACCCTCGAGATTTCCAGAAACGTCGCCAGAAGTCGGGTAAAAAAATCTCAGGCACGGACAACTCTAGACAGTTCGCTTGGACAGTACGTCCTGGCGAAAAATGCTGCCTGACAGGAAGCAAGGACAAGCTTACCGGTCGTCGGTAGGGGCTGGGGAGATGGATTATAGCCCAGTTTCCATTTCGTTCTCCATTTGATTCTCCATTATGGGCTTCAATATCCCCTGACCCTCAACCCTAAATCCTATTATCTTCCCTTACTGCCATTCCTTCACTGCCTACTGGACCACGGGAGACCGGAAGCAAACCAAAAGCGCATCCTGAATTTCAAAGCTTAGGGCTGGGGGCAACCAGGGTTTAGGGTTTAGGGTTTATATTTTAAGGTTTAGGGTTTAGGGTTAGACCCGGCGATCCATCCTAAACTCCCTTGAATCTTTGGCCAGCGAAGCACAAACTAGCTGGAGAATAATCATCACAGTAAGAAGATGGAAGGCAAGTAGCAATAGCAAGAACAAGAGAGGCAAGAAGACAGCTGATGGACAATAGGATATTCAGCGAGCGAAACACAATCATCACCATGATCAACAGCATGGTCATAGTCATGATAGCGAGAGCTCAAGATTGCCCTAGCATTCCATGCCTCAGGCAGACGATTCGCGCTGATGAGGACCTGCAGACAACAGGGTTCGACAGCAGGCCCTTTCAACCAGAACCAACTGAGATACATTAGGTGGGATCTGTGTCGGGCTGAGGCAGGCCACAGACAGAGATTGGAGGTCTTTCTGGGGTTCACACCATGGAGAACCCAGGGAATGGACTCTTATAGTAGCAGTCTCCATCTTCTATTCCATTCCTTCTTCCCCTACCAGCAACCAGCAAGATAGTCGGCCCGCTTCAGGCAGACTATGGCCTAACTACTTGAGAAGAGATTGTCTCGCATCCTCATATGACCCACAACCCTCGTTCAATTTTGATTCTCCATTATTAAATTCCTACATAACCTATATACAACCCTAGTATCCATGTCATGTTGACTTGATTTCAGTCTCCATTCTTAGTTATCACAGGCCTCCAACGCGCGCTTGGCGTCCCCCAGCAGCAGGTAGCATAGCGTAGCGATGTTGCTAATGTTGCTCTCCTCAGGACTTGGGGGGGGTTCGGCTCAAGGTTTGAAGGAAGGAAATGCAGGATGGGTTTAGGGTTTAGGGTATAGGGTTTAGGAAGTAGCATGGAAGATTTCACATTAAAGGGAGGGAAGGGTAGATTGTCAATTGAAAGCCCGCTGCCATTTAGTACACAACTGAAGGCACAATGGGAGCACATCTATTGTCTACTGCAAATACCTCAATTGCAGCGACTCTCAAAACACGGTACCCTCTCCAGTATCCTCAAGACCCAACAAGGGGCGAACGATTTTGAGAAACTCACATGCCAATGCTTCACCCCAACCGATTCGATTCCAAATCTGGATGCGAGGGACTGTATGGCGTAAACCCCTTGATGTCTTGAGGCTCCTGCCCTTGAGAACCATTACTCTCTCTCTAAGAAATGACTCCTAAAAACAAACACCAAATCATGAGACCCTTCCAACAATCAAGGACTTCCAAGACAAACAGCTTCAAACCATAGCAACGACAGTGAGCCATACCCCATGAACACCCGCCAAACCCCACAAAAGATCCTCGGCAAGCTTGCCAGTGGAGAGCACCCCCTCTGCATCTCCCACGGACGTGTAGAGGAGGAAGAGTGCACCAAGATCCTGCCAAACTCTCTAAGATACGGTTGCTGACACTTTATATTACTGTCTTCACACGTGCGTATGTGTGTATGTGTATATATATATATACATATATATATATATGCTTGGACATTCTCACATATTACAATTTACCATGAAATGTTAGCATCTAAGATAAGAGATGGGGTTCGTCGCAAAACAAGAGGAACCGTAAAGCACAGTCTCCCCCTTGTTGTCAAATCTCCAGGTACATGAAACCGTTGAAAAAATATCTAAGTCTTGAATGGGATCTTTTACCCCCTTTCCCCAATACAGACCCCAAATGTCAAAACCCATGCCCTTTCTGGGGTACCCTACATGTTCGAGGCGTGCTACCAGAAAAGGACCATAATCACACTGGCCAACATTTGGGAGAACAAAATAACAACATGGTAATATCCTGATACATGATACTAATATATAGTAATATGAAACCATATACAGTAGTATAAAGAAAGAAAAGATATATACATATATATATATATTAGATAGATACGAAGTAATTTATATATGTGTATACAGTAAGATAAAACAATGAATAACCTATTGTGTAATTATCAACCTGACTCTAGGTATTATTATCTAGCTATACATAGCAGCATATAACAAGTAAAGCCAACTGGCACTATACTAAAATGGTTTCCCTCAACAGGGGCAGCCCGATGATTATTATAGGGAACCCAGACAAGTACGCCCACCTTTGGGAAACCAGAGTCGTTAAAAACCCTGCGAATCCCGCTCCTGCTTTCGATGTCATGTTCCATTTTTCCACTTCATTTGATTCTTCAGAAAATAGGGGATAATATCCCCAAACCCTAAACCCCTAAACCCTAAACCCCTAAACCCTAAACCCCTAAACCCTAAACGCTAAACCCCAAGAGAGCGAGCCTTGGCTTCGCTAAAACAGCGCTTCGCCAAGGTGAAGTCGCCTGGCTAGCCACAGCTTGTGTAGGGTTTGGGGTTTAGGGTTTAGGGTTTGGGGTTTAGGGTTCAGGGCTTAGGGTTTAGGGTTTAGGGTTTGTGGTTTGGGGTTTAGGGTTTAGGGTAGGGACCTAAAAAGTTCAAGTGGTTGTTGGAGGGTATCACTATACGATGGCCTTATTGTAAGGTCTAAATAATCTTCGCGAAGAGGTTTCTACTTCTACTTCGCGGAATCACTAGATTGGTGTTTGTGCATATATTACTATACTGTAGCTGCGTGGGGGTTGTGAGGGGGGGATGTTGATCGCTATTCCGCCTTCTGCCACATGTAAGGCTTAGGTTTTTAACGTTTACTGTCTAGAGTTTAGATTCTAGGGTCAATCCTAAACCCGAACCCTAAACCAATGTGCATGGCTATACTACCTCCCTGATGTGAAAAAACTGCCATGAAAACCCTGCAAAGATGATCCAACGATGGCCCTCAAGGCGGAGAACTCTTGCAAGTAATTTGTTACTGCATGTTAGCATACATATTGTGATACTACTGTGTTACTATGGATACTCGAGATTGCAAGAAACTATTATATCTCACTGTACTATACATTATATATATATGTTTTCATATATGCAACTTTGAAGTATTGAGTTTTACTAGATATTTCTGTATATTTCTATATATCACTTTGTATCTCTCAACCCTCATTTTTGCAAAAGCCTGCGTGAATCCCCAGCAGACGCGCCTGCATTTGGTTAGCTAGGAGTGAAGGAATGTAGTCCCTAGAGAACCCATGAGAGTAGCTTCCATTTTCGTTTCACTCCCAGCTTACCAAAGGCCAGCATCGAACCCCTGAACCCCCTCAACCCTAAACCCTAAACCGGCGTGCCTTGCTCCAAAGCCACGTCTCCAAGGTTCTTCCACTTGCCACGAGGCGGCATCCCTGGATTGGCCTTCCGAAACAGACAGCAAATGAAGGCTTAGCTGGAGACACATTACGTGGTAGTAAGATCTGATAACATAGAATAACATATGCTCGTATATAATGAAATATTACCATACATGAAATGTTGGTACTATTCCTGAGCAACCAGTTCGCCTGCGTTGCAAGATTGGACCATGTAACACTGATGCCATGCAAAGGAACTCACGTAAGTCCTGGTGCTCCCTTTGTTCTTCTGCGTTGGCTTTTAGATGGTGTGTACGGAAACAGCAGAAATTGTGAAGCGTGGCAACTTCAAAAGTAACCATGTTGGATAATCCTCACCCATAATGTTAACAAGGCTTTACGTTGCTCGCAACCTCTCTGTCGGTTCGTGGCCAAAACGCCAGCTGAATGACATGATCCATAGTTTCTATTTGCGCTTCTCAAATTGGACACCAAAAATATACACTCACCAATATTCCTGAGTAATCCTATGCACAGATATACACTCACCAAAAACCAATGATAAGCCCTACCTCACACCGACCCAAGCAACTGCCATGCATGAGCACACCCAACCCTAAACCCTGAACCCTAAATCCTTAACCCTCAACTCTTAATCGCCCCATTGCGCAGAAGCAAGGGCCTGCGAAGATACGACGTACGTCCGCACTATACGGACAAAGAACACCTAAACCCAGAATCCTCAAGGTTTAGGGTATAGGGCTTAGGGTTCAGGGTTTAGGGTAGATGGCTTGAATTAGCCTCTATAACCTTGATACTCCTACATAATTATCCTCTATAACCCTCTATCATCCTATATAACCCCAAACAGTCCTGTATGAGCCATAGTCTAAACTCCTAGTAGCCCGCTTCATAACCCCTACCTTTCAGGAGCTTAGACCCTAAAACCTAAATCCCATATAATCCACTATATAACCTCCTTTCGGGAGACCATAGCTCATATCCCTAAACCCTAAAGCCTCTAACAACTTTCTACAACCCCAAACAGCCCCACATGACCCTCTATATCCTGGTTTCCTGGCCTGAGCCGTGATGCTCACGATGATGTCTGCGGCCATCTGGAGTTTCCCCAGCTGTGTGGCCAGCTCAAAGCGATGCTCGTCGTCCTTCGCAGAATACGAAAGTATGTGAAGAGAGAAGAGGAAGAGGAGGAAGAGGAAATAGGGGGAAGCGAGAAGAAGGGACAAGAGGAGCCGAAAGCACAAGAATGACACCTAGGAAGAGCCGAAGCAGCGCTAGTCTTGATTCTTGATAGTAGTGGTAGTGGTGGTGAGGACGTAACGCAACAAACACTTCTCAAGTGCGTAACGTCCAACCGCTTCCTCTGCTGCTGAAAGTCTGCAAAGCCACTTTCAAGCAGGATTCGCGAGACATTGGTTTAGGGGAGAATTCGGCAACCCCACGCTCTACAGGAACCCCCAAAAAAAGTTATGACTGAATCCGCAAACGAAACCAATTAATATAGCCCAGGCTAATCAGGTCGACCTATGTAAACTATGTTCCCAAAAAAACTTCTGCATCATTCTGCATCTATTGCAAGGATGTTCACAAGGAAAGCAAATTGTGGGAACAGCTCCACATGCATAGGAGCTAGAGTCTTAACTCCCAGGATCCCCCTCAATAACCCCTATAATACTCCTCTATAGAATCCCCTACACAAACCCCTTTAAGGAGTTTAGACCCCAAACCCTAAGCCCTATATGATCCCTCCTCAGGGAGTTTCGGCTATAGCTCATATGGGTCCTTGGAGATTTGCAGCGCTTCCGCTTGGTAGCCCTGGTTCTCCAAGAAACGGGCGATTCGGTTGTGCAGCGACCTTTTGGATTCAGGGTTCCAGGGTTGTAAGGGTTGAGGGTCTCAGGTATGAAGGGCTTCGGAGTTCAGAGTTTGGGGGTTGGAGGTTTGAGATTGAGGATTTCGGTCTAGTACGTAGCTGCATAATGGTTGCAGAGAAGACTTAGGACTATATGTCTGCTATCATACTGTTGTCACCTACAGGTGGCTAGTCATGACATGAGTAGTCCCCACAATACTCCCATAAGGGCTTCCATACCCTAAACCCTAAACCCTAAACCCTAAACTATGGGAGACTACCCACCCGTAGGTACCCGCCCGGAGTGGGCTTCTGTCATAGGATGGTTTCCGAACATCATCATTTACTATCGCAACTGATGGAAACTTCCGCTTTCTGGAGCCCCTTAAACCCCAAACTCACCGGATTACCGCGGCCCCCCACAAACTCATACCCTAAACCCTAAACCTGGTCAGCCTCAATTCCCCCCCAGTAAGCCCCAATGAGGCCCTCAAGTGGAAGGGGCCAGTGTGTAGACCCCTCCACCCTGATCAGGCCGACGAAAAAACCAACACCCCACAGACCTGCTTGCCTTGCGCTCTTCTCGCTTTAGGTAGGCTTAGGCACTGGCCTAGGTCCTTTAGAACAAAAACCTCAACTTCCTAGCCGTATATGCTGGATTCTGTAAGCATAGGTCCTTATCAAACCCCTTTAAAGGATCCAAAGACATAGATCTCCCAAAGAATCCCTAAATCCTAAGCCCTAAGAATACGTAACATGATTCTGTTCATGCTTGGAAGCTCAATTGCGTTATCCCGCTGTGAGATGTCATTGAGTCTCGAGCTCCGGGAGTTGTGCGAAGAAAGTTTCTGCCGTCGGGAAATCCTGGCCACCAGTTGAGTAGAGGATCAGGGCTGAGGGCTTTCCACTTCATAATGGGCTTGATTAGGGGTTCTGATTCGGCTCTAGGATTGTTTCGGCTTCTAGCTTCATTGCTAAGAATGCGGAGACAGTAGGCTACGCTGAGAATGTGCAGAAGCTTTGTTTCTGGTGTGAAAGTCAGGCGTCCGGAAATTGCACGAGTCGTTCCCCTTGCATGGCTGAGTAGTAGAATTCGCTGATGTAGCGCAACATATCCAGGAGGTTGGGATTTTGAGTAATCCTCGGGATGCCGAAAATATCAAATCCCCCACAGCCTGGCAATTGCCATTGCGCTCTACACCATTGTCTCAATCTCAGGGATAATCCCACACGGCAGCCTTTGAACGAAAAACATCCTAGAGGAAAAAGCAAACAAGGGGAGTTTCCCCACGTAGGAATCTGCCCCTCGTGTTCCCACCAAAGCCTGTAACCGTAAGCGCCTAGCCTTTCACCGTGAGTCCCAAGCCGTCATCCTTGGCCCCCATGCCCTTGATGGGATGACCCGCCCCCATATGATCCCTCTTTTAACCGCACACTACCCCTACATCATTAGAGTGAAGTCTCTGGATCACTCTTTTCAAAACACTGAAAACCTTCAGAACAGAAGCTTTGCAGACCAACCTTCCGCATGATGGCAGACTGGTATTCTATCAGCGCCATGTGCAGCGTGTAAGGAGTCACCTGGGTCAGACTGCTAGCCCTGACCTATATCCACGATATACAATATTCCCTGATTCCCATATATTCCCTAAACCCTAAACCCTAAACCCCAAACCCCAAACCCTAAACTCTACAGGGATTATACAGTGGTTCTACAAGGATTATGAGGGCAAGCCTTTCTGGGTGTTTCGCCCTTACTACATCCTGCGGTCTGGAGGCATGGAAGATGACGAGAGAGCTCATCAAATCTCCTGAACCCTGTCTTTCAAGTCTTAGTATATTGGGGTTATGTAGGGGATAATGGAAAAGAGAATGGAAACTACTATAGTATATTGGGGTGGCATACTTTATTATAATAGATATATTATATATATATATACATATATGTATACATATATAGAGAATAGGGGTATGCTGGGATCCTTCACCATTCCAAGGGCCCCTCATCCCTCAGATTCCGTATGGAAGCAGTTCTTGAGCAGCTGGCATTGAGCTCCTTGTCGATGAGGTACAGCTTGGATTGCTCCGGCATGTATCCCAGCAGGTACCTAGCATGTCGCAAAATGGGGTTCCAAAATTGTGCCGGAACCCCGCATCCAGGGCACTACACCTGCTAAGCAGTTCATCAGCGACATGCTGCCCACCCACACCTTACCCAAAGCGTAGGACTCGACTAACTACCCTGGAGTTTCTTCTGAAGCTTTGGTGTCTCAACATATGCCCCAAAGCCACAGTGTCCTGGGTTGAAAGCCCGAAATAAGCCACTCTCCCCTAACAACAAGCATCCACCGTAAGGAATTGTTCGCCCCCGTTAGATAATGGCACTCTATTGGATGGAAGCAGGAAGGGATGAACGCTACCCAAAAAGTGCGATAGATTTAGGGCCCTGTGAAATCAGAATGCAATTCTTATGGGCTATATAAAGATTAGGTAGGCTTCATGAAATATTCCAGGAACCCTTGATAGAAGACCATGGCCGACCTTGAACCTTAAAAACTCCCTTAACGTTAGTTTCCATTTTCTTGTCCATTATCCCAACATATCCCCATTTCCCCTAATTTTGAAAAAACAAGTCAACCTCAAGTTCCGCACTCTCAATGGATTTGGGGGGAGGGGGGGGGGTTCCAAGGACTTGACCTCTTGGGAACTCCCTGGACCAAGGGTTCATACTGTAGCGTTGTGGGGTGTGAGAGAAATGCCTTTACCTTCTGAAAATATCAATTTGGGGCTTAGGACTTTCGTCCTAAACCCCAAACCCTAAACCCTAAACCCAACCTTCTGAAAGCCCTGGAGAAGCGCACTGCAGACGGTCTAAGTGTGCCAAGGTCTCCTGCAGCAATGCTTGGGCCCAGGGGGGAAGATGTAGAAATCTGGGGTGAATAAGTTTCCTAAACAATTGGGGGAAAAGGAAAAATGTTTTCCCCCAATTGTTTAGTAGAAGATGTAGAAATATGGGGGGGGGGGGGTTGGTCAATTTCCTGTCAAAATATGGTCGTGTAATTGCTGTGTGTACCTTTGGTATAATTTAGCCTCAAATACATGTGCTTTTACACCCCCAAATTCAAATCCCTTGGGTTATTCAATAAGTTGATGGTACAGTACCATCACTTCCGACAAGCTCGTCCAGCAATTCAAGCTGAACATGTCACCTCCCAGAAGGTAGCCGCTGACTTGGGCTGGTCTTGCAAGATTCCTTGACCAAGCCTGCAACAAAAAATGGGCGACTACAGGCCTCGAAGTGGAACCCTCTCATAATCATTTGATAACTATACGACCTGACCTTAGGGGTTGGGTAAACCAAAACCCGCTTATTTTACCACGTCAACCCGAAACCCCAAAGTCCTGCGAGCCCGCCACCAGGCAGGTAAGTCGCTGCGCGTGGGAAACATACACCTTGGTAGGTAAACAGAGGGGTATACAGGGTTGCAGTGGAGAATGAAACGGAAAAGACAGAGGCGCATGACATGGAAACTGGGATGATATAGGGATTTAGGAATTAGGGGCCGTGTCAGCACATTACGAAACACTAGTGCTATCCCTGCAGGACATTACGTGGATTTAATTTGGGTATTCCCTATCAAGGAGATGCAGCTTCTTGGGCTGCCAAAGCTCTGTAGGCCTTGAGTGACATCAGACAGAGACCCCTAGCATTCTGAAAGATAGAAGTTACTCTAGACTGCAAACATATACCCTACACTATACCCTAAGACCTAAACCGACTCCTTCCTCGCAAGATGATTAGGGTTTAGGGTTTAGGGGTATTGGTTGTGGAGTTTACTTCAAGTTGTGGCATGGGTACAGCTTTTTGGGTGTTGAACTGAATCAAGAGCCTCAACAGGACTTGAGTTTACAGAAGCCTGCATAGTTACCAGATTCCTTCCCGTCTGATCCTTATACGGTTGTCATATGTTGGGGATATTCGTTATTGGGAGGGAAGGTTCATGACTGGAGAAATGTGGGGTGGTCGGCGTGTGGCGCTTTGAACCAGGAACTACCCACAGCCCTAGCTCCTGTATCTTAAGTCCCACAGACACACACGCTCGGCACCAAAGCCTGAATTCAACCTTTCCCGGTACCGACTACCCAGTCTACAGCCTCAATCGAATCCCAACTCAAAACCCTCAACCCTAAACCTTAAACCCTAAACCCTGACCATTTATGGTGCTCGAAAAACTCACCTGCTGTTGTTGTTAGAGACAGGGCATCACTTCTACAGGGGATTCAACAAGTACCGACGTTATCCTGGGTTGCTGTTAAGGAACTTAATTTAAGTTACTATATTGGGGAAAGCATACTAGTTACTATGTATACCCAGTATGGTAGCCTAATTTAAGTTCCTTACCAGCAACCCAGTATCTTGATAAGAATCCTGAGACCAGAATACTGGCAGTTGTTTAGGGTTCAGGGTTTAGGGATTTAAGGGTTAAGGGGTTTAGGGTTGAGGGATTAGGTTTACGGTTTAGGGATTTAGGGTTTAGGGAGTTAGGGTTTTAAGGATTTAGGGTTTAGGGATTGGGGGTTCAGGGATTTATCAAGCAAATCAAACGGCTTGCCGGGGCCCAGGCGAAGCAGTCTCCCACCCACAGCCCACTGACCACCTAGTCTCGGGTGCAAGGCTCTACTTTTGAGGCGAAACTTGGATTGATTTAGGGGCCTCATAAAAAGGAAATATATAGGGGTCATGGTTCCGTAGCAATGAAAGTCATTCCCAGGACTACCCCTAGAAAGTAGCGCCCTGACATGCAACCTTTTGAGCTTGCGGGGTTTGCAAACCAAGTGCTGTATGCTCCACACATCCGAAAGGCCACTGGGAACCCGAGAGTAGCCAGGGCTGGGTGGCCCATCGTTAAAGCCAGACAAATTGTCCGAAAGACGAGGCTCTGCCTTCGAATTTAAAGTCGAGGAATTGGGTTACATTGATGGCCAAGTAATATAATCTCAATATAGCCCCAATGTAACCCTAACATAACCCCTGATACAAGGGCTGAAGGCTTGGCAAGACGCATAGAAGAGGACGCTCAGAGAAGTTTCAATGTCGTCTGTGCAGAATGCTTTTTCCAACTCAAGGTAGCACTGGGCAGTCAATGCGGTGCCATGGGCCGTGTTTTCCGTCATGGTACCCTTATCCTGACAATGTTCCACTAATTTCAGAACCTGGAGTCAAGATACTTTGGGGCTGTCATTTCGTATGTACATATATATATACATAAACCAGAATGGGGTTAGGTTGCTCAAATTCGACAAGAAGGTGTGTTGTTGTAAGTCGAGTCAAACAGTCCTTCCAAAATTAAGACCTCAAAAACCAAGGTCCAAAAGCCGTACCTCTCGGGTTTCGGGTGTAGGGCTTCGGGTTCCCTAAACGGCACGTGTCCCCATCTCTGCCTTGTCATTGATCTCGTGCTGAAGATCGAAGGCGGCCTCAATGCCATCCTGATGTCGTGCTTGTGTTAGAGGGATTAGGGTTTAAGGTGTAGGGCTTCAGTTTAGGCAATACCAAAATACGAAAGGAAAGTTCGGTTCCGTTTCATCTCCCACTAGATCACAATGTTACTACACTTCTGAAAGTTTGTATTTCCACTCTCCAACAAGAATCAGCTATATGTTTGGCTAACTACCTTGGGTGACATACTCAATATCCGGGGCCGTTTGCGTTCTCAAGCGATGGGAAAGGTGACTTCTTGGGAGCAGTATGCTCACCCTTATGACCCTAAGCCTCAAAGCCAAATCATTGCTCCCTTCGTTTAGGGGTTACACTGGCATCCCGCCCCAGAATACCCCAAAGATTTACAACCATATGTATGATACAATCCTGGTTAGCTCCTTGAACCCAGCAGAGGTGTACTTTTGGGTGGATAGCCCTAAGTCCCTAAATCCCTAGACCCATAGGAGTATAAGGGATTCATTAGTAGCACCTGGGGAGAGGCTGGCCTCATCCATTTGGGCCCCCGAGATCAGGGCAGCTTGTACCGCATCCTTGTCGTGCCTGATCAAGGATTGATTTTAGGGGGTTTAGGGTTTAGTGATGGTTTAGGGGTTTAGGGTGTAGGGTTTAGGGGTTTGTCCCAATATCGGAGAATCAAATGGAAAATGACGTGGAAAATGAAATGGAAATTAAGGAAATACGGGCGCATACAGGCTTATGGTCTCAGGTTTAGGGGTTAAGGTCTCAGGTTAGGGATTTTGCAAAGAAGGCTGAGCTTTCGTATGCCCGGCAACATGATTCTGCTTACCACCTCTTCTTTGCGAGCTCGGGGAGAGTGCAATCCCTTACCAAATGTCCACCTAATGCTGAATACTCCCATTATGGTAGCATGACCATATAATGGGGATGTATTAGGGGCTGATGGGCGGGAGGCAGGTTTGTACTAAGGGAACAGATTCATGTAACTCGCATCCCTAAGTTGGCCTCTCCTGTCACAATACGGGTGCAGGATGTGTTGAACAAACAAATGAACTAGAATTGAAATCCTCCAAACCCTAAACCCTAAGGCCTAAGCCCTAAACCCCAAATCCTAAATCCTAAACCCTGCAGAAAACCCCAAGCCCTAAATCCTAAACCCAAAGCACTAAAGCCTAAACCCTAAGCCCTAAACCATAAACCCTAAGCCCTAAACCTTAAACCCTGATTACACTTCCCCACCTGAGCACGTAGAAGGAGTCAGGGCAAATGAGGACCACCGAGCTCCCTTCCTCGGACCTTCGCAGCACTCTCTTTTGCAATTACTTTAGGGCGAGGGGATTAGGATGTATTACCATTACTTAGGGTTTGGAGGCGGATTTTGGATTTCAAGATTTTGAAATTAAGGAAGTAGTGGTTTAGGGCTCAAGCTCTTAGGGTTTAGGGTTCAGGGTTCAGAGTTTAGGGCGTAGGGTAGGGTGGAGGTTGCGAAAGTTAGGAGTTCCCCGTTCGGGGTGGGTTCATATCGTAAGGATTCTCGTCTTTTGGGGCTATGGGTGACCCTAGTTTTTGGGAATGCCCATTTCCTGGGCTGCAACACTGGAGGAGCCCGAGTATGCCTCAAAGAGCGGATATTCCTGATACAAGCACCCCAAAGAACTGCGCCCTAAACCCGGACACTGACGCAAACCCTAGCTTTGTGAAACACAAGACCCTGAACCTAAAAAGCCTTTCGTCCTCTAATTTGGGTGGCTTCTGCATGGCAGAGACGCTACGAACCGCTTGAGAGCCCCTCCCAGACCCGTGGGAGGACAACTAGATCCCCTATAGATACCCATAATAACCCCTACTTTATTCCCCATATGATTCTAGAAGATCTAACTTCAGTTTTCAAATCCCTTGGGGGGTTTGGGTAAAACTGCGTTAATATAGCCATTTATAGGGATAATTGTAGGTTTCAAACTTCGGGCTTATCATCTCGAAGCCAGAAGATTGGGTTTGAAGCTGTGGAGGCTCAAGGATTCGGAAGCAGCTCCTCCCCGTACAGTGCCGCACAACTCATGCTCACTCCAAAACCACAATTATCCGTAAGTTGGGCACAAGAAAATGAACAGCCATGTGGTAGTTACCCCAAATGGGGGGACCCCAATATATAACGCGCAAAATACTGAAATCCTGATACCAAAGGTACCCCTCATTTTGGAAACCCTGATCCCTATGAATACTTGTAAATCGCTACGTACCCCCAGAAAACCCCTATACCCCCTTTAAAGGGACCCCTAGAGCCCCCATGTATGGATTCCGTCTCTGGGACCCGAAGATCAGTGGCTGTATGTAGTCAACACATGAGCTACAGTCCATATTTCCTACATAAGGTTTAGGGTTAATGTTTCCACATATCTTAGTGGGGTATATATGTGATCTAGGGGTTTAGGGTCAATATTTCCTACATAGTTTAATGGACATGTGTACCTTCTTAGGGACTATGTTAAGGGCTAAAAACTACAAGAGGGACCCCTATGTCCACCCTTCATGGTTTTTGGTGTGGCTAATATTGACAGTAGCTCACATCGATACTGCAGGGCATGTGGGCCAAAAAACTCGAATAGGTCTGCGTCAAAATACAGTTTCGTCATCTCTCAGTGTACTCACTGAGTTAGTAGGGAATAAAGGAATATGATCACAGCATAATCCCTGTATAATATATTCCCTTCCTCCTTACTAACCACAAGCAGGTGTAAGGTCAGTTTCGCGTTGGGTGAATCAAGGAGTCGGCTGCTGGAAATGTAAGCTTACTTGTCTGTGGGGCAAACATCGTCTCACAACTCCTCGTACATCTGAGTTTGTCACAGAAGCTCCCTTGTTCCCTGTGCCCTAAACCCTAAACCCTGTACTGGTAGCTACATGGACCCAGTGTCATCCCTGCATCTCTGAGTAGCCAGCCAGATGACATCCTTGGGCACCACATCGATGCGGCGAATCAAACGATACCTCAACCACACACAGACCCCCCAAAAATCAACAATCTAGACCCTACACCCTAAATCCTACACCCCAAATCCTAAACCCTAAACCCTAAACCCATATAAGCCCCTCATAAGCCTGATGTAACCCGCAAATCATCCCAAGGGGTCTGATGTCTGATGGGGTCCAGGAAACACAGGAGTATATGTCTTTGTGTGCCTTCGAGGAATTGTATTGAACCGGATGCAGGGGTTTTAACAGGAATAATGGAAGATGAGATGGAAAAGAAGATGGAAAATGAAATGGACAGTCGGTTCTTATATAATGGTTTGTGGGGCTGATTACCAACGTTGTGGTCCTACTGTTGGAAGTCAAACTCCTGCACGAGAATGTTACTGCTATCCCCATGACCAAGGTCTAATGGCCTTGAGGTCATTGAGGATTCCTTGCATCAACAGAAAGTATCCGGACTGAGAATCATCAACAGTTGCTAGATGCCCCTGGGTTTGATAGAGAGCATCCTATCTCAAGCCTGCTTTGAACGATTCTTCGGAGATGGGCGTCCAATTGGAAGATGGCATGTCAAATTGAAACACTAATTCTGCCAGGTGCTTTGATGCCTCCCTTCCACGCGGAACGAGGCGGTTAAAGAAGCTTCTTCCAAACATGTTTGCGTCCCTGCTCCCAGTCCCAACCCCCCCTCCCTGGATCCTTCAGAAGCCGCAACAATCATGCAGAACTACGATCCGCGTGGCCGTTGGCGTTTTGGCATTCTGGCTGTTCATTCCAAAATAGGACCAATACCCTGGCGAGCAGGTAAATTTGGAAACTTAGGAAAAAAACTGATAGTAGATCTGTCGAAACGTTTGAAACATTAGCACTTTCTATGAAACCGATAGACACCAAATGGCATCCGGACAATGCCTCTGAAGCCTTAAGTGAATTGTGGAGGGGGCATGGGAAATCCTCAAACGAAGATACCACGCAAATAATCCTACATGTCCCATATTTCCCTCATTCCAGTCTCACTTTCCATTTGATCTTCCTTTTTTGTCTCCATTATTGGGGTATATACGAAAACAACAAATCCCACACCAGACCAAGACCTGTGTGCCGGGCGTGCCAGAGCGGCTAGAAGCTACATGGCAACACTTGGCATCCATATCATACTGGCTTCCGGTACGTTACCCTAAACTCTCAATCGAATGCTGGCCCATATCTGCTTGCTAGTGCCAATCGGCCCTAAATCCAAGCCCCGCACTTTTGCAACTCTAGGGAAGAGAGGCGGAATAAGTAAACAGGGTTTTGAATCACATCCCAAATATACTTCGCCATAGATACCTGTATACCAAATATAGGTTGACATTACATCAACATGTTAGGAGCCACTCAGGCTTCAATACTAAAAGAAATGGAGTAAAATGGGAAGCCCAAACAGTGAACCCCGAAAATATACTAGGAATAGAAGGACCCTGGTAGGCGTATTCCTAATATATTCCTACTGTAGTCTTGGGGTTCCGTGCTTTGGGGGCCACAAGCCTATTACTCCCTTTACAGGGCCTATACTATAATATACCCTAAGATACCATAATACACCAGAATATACCCTAATATACCTTAATATACCCTAATATACCATAATATACAATAATGTACTATTATGATATGATAGTTTCCATTTTCTTTTTCATTATCCCTAGATAACCCACAAACAACCCCTTTATAACACCTAAAACCTGGGAGTCCAGCTCCGTCCAGTCGTAGAAGCAGATGAAATCCCCACCGCGCACGCCAAGCAGACGTCCTCCGCAGATTGCTGGATCTCAACATTAGGGTAGGGTTTCAGGATGTAGGGTTAGGATCATGTCACATTTGGGGCTTCAGGGTGAATTTGGGGGATCCCCGTAGGGCCAGCAACTTTAAGCGGTTGAACTCTCAGGGCAGCACTGATAACAACAGTGGTCAACTGTGTTAAGGACCATGTTTAGGCCACTGAGGACCTGATGATGGTGATTGTCATGATGATGATAATGTGATACAAAGAAGATGAGAACTGTGACACTCATAAGGGTAGCAATCGCATGAAAACACACATTCTGAAGAACATTGGCTGGCGAAGGGTTCCAAGGTCAGGCTTTAAGTCAGGCCTAACGGCTCTGCACGAAACACGTTGCATTCGGAGCTCAGAATTTTGAGAAGCTAGGATTTCAAGAATTGGTGCTTGAGGGGCTCTGTCCCCTAAGGTATTGCATGTCACAAATGAAAGGATTACTGCTTCTCCTCATACAGGAAAAGGCAAAAAATGAAAAGGACCCACAAAGTCATAAATCTTCGCTCCTCCATAAGTCTCCTCCACAGTGAAGGGCGGCTTGAAGGAGAAGCTCTCCTTAAAGTCCTGGCAAGTGGCGTTTAGGTCATGTCACCCTAACTTCCTAACTTTTGGGATTTAGAGTTTAGGCCTGGTATGATGCCTAAGAGCCCTGAATAAAGCCCATTCAAATACTCAGGTGTTGCTCCACCAGTAAGCAAAAACTTCCTATCCAAACGTCGAAACCCCTGAATTTGCTGCGCGCGGACAAATTCACAAAACGCAAAAGCATGAAGGCGTGCCAGGCAGTGCCAGGCTGCGACTGTGGTTCTAAACCTTTAAGTCTAGAGTTTAGGGTTTAGGCCTTGGGGTTTAGGATTTAAGGGCGTAGGGTTTAGAATTTAGGGTTTAGGGTTTGAGGCCTGCAGCCACAGCAATCCCTGTCAGAACGAGGTCTTTAAGATTAAAATATGTAACAATTATCTACATCCTAAGAAATTGTTTCCAAGAATTCTTGGTATCTAACTCTTCGGTAGCTAAGTATATACCCTGAGGGTATTGCGCTGAAAAGCGACCCTAAACTTCAAACCCTACATTCAAAATAGTAGTTTCCATTTTTTCCATTGCTCTATATATATATATGTATATATATCCCTATACAAACCCTATAAATCTCCTATATAACCCTGTATGACCCTAAGCTCAACTTTGCGACTTTGGTTCGACTTTGGCAACTCAACTCAACAACGACCAGCTTCGATGGTGTGGGGGGGGCGGGGGGTGGGGAGAGGTTGGGCGGTTTTGGCTTTAGCGTTTAGGGTTATATAGTGGATTTATGGGGGTGGTCTAGGGATATATAGGAATGGCAAAGAAAATGGAAGCTACCATTTTGGGTGCTGGGACTTAGGGTTTAGGGTTTTAAGGCTTAGTGTTTGGGTTTAGGGGAACACTGCTTGTTGGAGTAGAGTGACACAGATGGGCTGAATGAGTTGAATGAAGGCTCTTTTCTTTGAGAAAATTCACAATTTTAGGGAGTACTCGCGAAGTCCACCCCATAGAGGTTTTGAGGCCCGAGAATTCTTCCGAACGCACATGAATTCCAATGGGAGTAGGTACAGTCTAGGTGCATTCGGACCTACATGCAAACTCATCCTAGACTAGGAGCAGGGGCCACTGGAAGGCCGAAACTCCAAAGACAACTCTACACATTGGCAGGAGTATCCTGGAAGACAGTGATCTTGCCATTGCCATCGCGCGTGGCGTAGGCACCGGAGTGTGCCCAACAAAACTGCAGCAGGCATGGGATGAAACTTGGATGTTTCGGCTTCCGCTCTCCTAGACCTCGCAGATACGCGGGTTTGGGTTTAGGCTTTAAGGTTTAGGGTACTATCATGGATATTTGGGATGTTCCGATAAGGCTTAGGGAGACTTAGGGACTTGTTTGACTAACATTTGCCCAGGAGAGCTGAACCTCTTTGACCAGAGTTTGCAGGAATATCTATCTTATTGGTTCTTAGTAGGGAATAAAAGGATAGAACCTCTACCATCCCCATACAATTAGCATTCCCAACTAAGAAACAGTAAGCTATTCACCGCCAATGCAAGCCAAAGCTGTGACTTTGCATCAGAGCGCTGAACCCACAGCCTTAAATCCCAGAGGAAACTTGCAACTACCATGATTTCTGGGATTCCTGGTGAAATCCGTGCAGGTGGCTGTTCTGCTGCCATTGTAGGATTGCCAAGAAAACCTTCTCACATCATGCAGTCTTCTGCTATGTCACCTCGAAAGTTTCTCAAAATAGTTTGCTGTTAAGGAACTTAAACTAAGTTACTATATTGGGGAAACCCTATTATTTACTATATATATACCCATTATGGTAACTTAATTTAAGTTACAGCCTGACATGCAGCGACTGCAACATCTGAAGCCCCAAACCAAACAATTACTCCTGATCACTACACTCTGAACCCTGAATCATTTTGCTTCTAAAGGGGCCCATGACTGCGGGAAATGCATCTCATCTAACATCGAAGGTGCGCCTCCAGAGCGGGACCGTACGACTTGTTCCGGAGCGCCTGGTTGACAGGCTCTTGAGGTACAGAAAGGGCTGTGCGGGGAGTTTATTCTGAAAACCCTGGTGAGATAGCACCAAATGTTCGAGGAATTGCCTGGCTCCGTTAAAAACAAGGGCCGACTTACAGATTCCGAAGGGCTCATCTTGAGAAACCCGCTTTGGAGCTTGAATGCGGTCTCATCCCCCAGTAGGAAGAGGTCACTACTAACCCCTTCATGGAAGGAGTAATAACTGCAATACTACTTGCACTAATGATAAGAGTAATAATAGCAATAATAACTTAAATAATAAGAAGAAGAGTAGTAATAAAAGTAATAGCGATAATAATAGTAATGATACTAGTAGTATTCATAATACTAATAATATCAATGATGATCGTGATTCAAGGCACAGATAACTGGCAGGTTGAAGGACATGAGGATGGCATGGGGCATGGGGCCCGACCCAAACCGCAGCCAAAACTCCTCATGTAAACCACCGTCACAGCAGAGAACGCAAGTTTCAGCAAAACAAGGGTGTAGGGTTTAGGGGTTTAGGGCTTAGGGCTTAGGTTTTAGGGAGGTGACAATCCAGCCTTAAGGTTTGCTTGCTGGTTCTTACTAGGAAATAACGGAATAAAATCCCTACATAACCCCTATATAACCTATTCCCTTCTTCCCTACTGAGCCCTAAACCCTAAACCAGTAAGCAGTGCAGCTTAAGGTTTGGGGATTAGGTCACGTGGCTCAGAAGAGCCCTGTACCCCTGGCCCTGCAAAGACGCTGCTCAGAAACCCCATGACCATGGATCTTACTGGAGGGTTTAGGGTTAGTAGCCTAGAAGGGAATATGTAGGGGCAAGATAGTGCTTAGGATTTAGGATTAGTAGGGAAGTGAATATATTATATAGGGATTATTTGAGGATTATATGCCCTTATTCCCTACTAACCCTAAACACTAGACCCTAAATTATATTCCTTTATTCCCTACTAACAACCGGTAAGTCATAGAGCCCACGGATGATATCATTGGCATCCGACAGGTTAAGCACGAAGAGCCTCTGTTCTAAAGATCTGAGACAAACTGGCCTTGAAATAGTGATAGCAATAATCATAGAAATAATAAGGGTACTACTAACAATCGGAGCGAAATTGAGAGTAGTAGAAATAATAGTGATGACAATATTAGCAATAATAATGAGAATACTAGTAAAGACAGTGGAAATGATAATAGTAATAAGAAGCATAATAAAAAGTACTGGTAGTAATAAAAGAAAAAATGAAAAGCACAAAATACAAGATTTGCAAGCACAACAATACTAATATTAGTAGCAACGAAATAAGTAGCAACAAAGTAATCATCATCGTGATGATATGAGCTATAGTCGAAACTCCTAGTATCCCCCTTAATAAGCCCTATAGTAGTCCCCTATATAACGCCCCTTTAGATGAGTTTAGGCGATGGATAATATGATTAAGAGGGCCTACAACCCCAGCTCTGCTGTCACACTGGGCCTGCGCCGTGTAGATCACGAACTCTCCGTCGCCACACACGGCAAAGAGACGACCTTGCAGTGGTAATAAGTATCAACAATGATAAGAATAATAGTAATAATCGTAGTAGTAGTTGTTGTTGTTGTTGTCGTAGTAGTAGTAGTAGTAGTAGTAGTAGTAGCAGTAGCAGCATTATTAAGAACAATCATGATGATAAGATATGATAACTGCTGGAGCATCTAGACACCCGGTGTGGGCTGAAGAGAAAGGTGTCTTTGCAAACCCGAGAGTCACAACTCGGGATTGTAAGGGATTGAACGAGGCCCAGCTCAAGGATTACATAAGGATTCTCCACAGAAACCTTACTGAGAGCAGCTTCCCACGTGAGCTTTTGTCAAGTATCCAATGCAGGACGTACACCTCTGCCGAGTCTTTCGGGAAGCTTCCTCACACTTGAACAGCTCATTCAGCAGTTGGTTCTTAGACATTCCTTGAGTGCAACCATAAAAGGGTCAAGGGTGATAGAGAGAGAGAGAGAGAGAGATGGATTATTACTATTAATATGATTTGTATGATTATTACTGTCATGACTACTACTATGAACATTATTATTGCTAACATATGGCACCCCACATGATCCCCACATCTGGCCAGGTCACTGGGCTCCTATAGGCCTTCAGGCCAACACTGGACTCAAAACCACTGTACCCCTAGGCCTCGACTCTGAACCCTGAAGCCCAAAACTACCCCAAGCTCGAAACTGAGAAAAAGCTGATGCCCAAACCTTCAAAACCCTCAATCCTCCAAAACCCTATCCGCACGAGCGCACCGTTCGGGTGGTGCGCAATGTACTGAGGGAATACCTCTGCTGCACCCATGTCCTGCAAATCACCCAGGCATGTCTTGGGCTCTGACTGTTCAGGTTTGGGATGCAGGGTTTGGGGTTCAAGATTGTCTCATGCGGCGGGCTGACAAATCTTGAGGCACCTTTTTGTCATCCTAAATAATCTTAGGAGACCTGGGATAAAGGAGACCCCAGAAAATGGCCCAGGAATCTATTTGAGTTTCCCTAAAGGCACCACCAAGACCTTCTCATATCCCCATAGGATCCATAGGGGCTGGGGTTTAAGGTTTAGGAGTTAGGTTTATGGTTTCTGCGGACCTTGTTTTTGGTACACCATGTCGCCCACGCCTCGACTGCGGCTCATATGTATCCCCCAGAATGAAATGGACGCTAGAATTTTATAGGACCATCTGGGGATGTATAACGATACTATCCCCAATGATGGAGAACCGAATGGAAAAGAAAATGGAAACGAAACAGAAACTGTCGCTATACACAGGTTTATAGGAGCTGCTGCGGCTGCTGCCGCAGCAAGAACAACGTAACGTACAAGGCATAAGGTATTCAGGCTCATGCAGTATGAATTGTAGTATGCATGTAGGTCCTTGCAACAGGAAGTCATCTAGAATCATACTATTACTATCCAGGAAGGCAGAAATAAAATAACCTATCCTCTTTGAAAGGAATCAACCACGAACCCTAATTAAACCCTACACCCTCAACGGCTCCATACGCAGTATGCCTGGCAAGGCTGGGGAAAAAGCTGGAGCCCTCTTTGTTGGGCTATACCATGTGGGAACAACTCTGCTCGGAACCTGATTATCATTGAGCGCCTAGCAGCCCGGCATTTCGGGTTGAAAAAAGCATCCAGACGTTGGAAACTACCCTGTGAGATTGGAAAGTCCGAGATTGAGTCCCAGGCACAGACGGAACGAAACTTCCCTGTAATTAGTAGTCTGGTTGCAGCCCTACGTTCCAAACGACTCTGATACCCAACGGCCAGATGGGGGTCTAGAAGTTTGAGTTTCTTTGCTTATCATAAAGCATAGGACGGGCAAAAGATGCAAAGTACTATCACATGAAAACTACATCAGCTTGATATCCCTTGACCCGATAACTACTAAACAAAGGATTGGAGCTATCTTATCATTAACCAAAAGCCCTAGACCGTGGTCCTTCACGCTCAGCGGGACCTTCTCGCCCTCTCGGGCGGTCACTCCCTCATCCAGCAGCTTGAGGTTAGCCGTCTGAATCTCATTGCCTTTCGCCTGGCAAGAATGCCAGGGTTGAGGGTCTAAAGTTTACGGTTTTGGGGCAAGAGTGGGGGAGTGTACAGGGATTCGAGACATTACCCCAATTATGGCTAGGGGCTTATGGGGGTTGTGTTTTCTGGAAATTAAAACTCCGTTCTGGGGGTCTTCATTGTAAGGAGTAACGTGTTCGCAGGTTAAGCATGTGAATGTTGGGGCCTGTGTTTTTGGAAACCACCACTGCTAACTGCAAGAAATACTGAGCTCCTCCTCCTCCTCCTCCTCGTACTCCTCTTTTGCTGCGTTGTGTTTTTTCTTATGCTTGTTCTGCTGCTTCTTCTGCTGCTGCTGCTCATGCAACTAACAACCAATGCTTCTACTAAAACGGCAAATGGTATTCTGCGGCTTCTTTCAACGAACATTCGCCGGCTCCACCCAGATGATCTTGCCCGAGTGCATGGACACAACTGGCTCCTGCAAATTCGGTGCCTAATCTTGGGGAACCCTAAACCCCATAAATCCCTATACAGCCCTATATAACTGCAGTGTCGGGGAGAAAGCCATGGAGGGTGCTACAGCGACTGCCGGATCCACAGCGGGTTCAGGGTTTCGGGCTTTGACCCCGATAGTGGAGAATCAAATACAAAATGAATAGAAACCGGGGCTTAGAGGGAGGAAAAATGCCCTAAACCCTAAACCCTAAACCCTCTGGCCCAAAGCCAGAATCAAAGCAGGAGTCAAAGAGCCCTGCAAGCGATAACCCGGATCTTTGCATCTCGGCGGTCGCCCCTTACTCGTGCAAGCATGCTTGCCGTAGGGTTCAGGGGGTTTAGGGTTTAGGGTTTAGGGTTTAGGGTTTCCAGATACAGTTTCTACTGGCTACGCAAGTGGAAAAACTCCAAAGGCCTGATTAAAACCGATGCATTCAGGACCATTCTTTATACAAACAACCATAGGCCAAAGCTTTAAAGGAAGCAAGCACCATTGGAATGATTGGCATGTGGCTAGGGTCTTGCCGCCAGACCTGGTGTGCCCCAAAAGACTTACTGGTGGTTGATAGGGAATAAGGTAATACAGCATACAAGGAATATCTACGGATTAGATTCCTTTCTTCCCTAACCAACAGTAAGAAAAGCTGGCTCAAAAATCAAGATCTCAAGTGACAGAGCTTGGCAATCCACCTGAAATTTCCAAAAGTGCAGCCCGTCCGTGCCACTCTTCCCTGCCCTTCCCTGGCTATCTCTAGTGAAGCCTCTCTTTCTTCGCAAGGCGCCTCGCTTCCGAGCTTGATCACCACAGTGCCCTCATCGTATCCCAGGGCAGCCTGAGCAAACGGAGAGATGATCTGAGAGCTGCACGAACGCCAGATCTGTAGGGGCGGAAACTACTACAGTATTGAATGTTTAGGGGCCGAAATAACGGAAAAAAAATGGAAATTACCATAGTATTAAGAGCTCAGAGGCCTACATGAATACCAAGAATGGAAAAGCAAAATGGAACAGAAAATGGAAAATGAAATGGAAACTAAGTTTGTATACGGTCCGTACGGATTGTGTAAGGTAGGGGCCAAATATCATTTTGAACTCCATTGGACGCCCAATCCTGTCATGACACAAGGAAGCTGGATCGAAAATATCTCAAATTAGCCGGGCGCCTCTAGCATTGAGGGCTGCGCAGGGGCTTTGCAGCGGTGACATCGGTGTTTGTCGCAACTATGGGCTACGCTGTTTTGTGGTAAGGGGACCCTAACTGTGCCAGAAAATTGGCGTGGTGTTCACCAGGGAATGTGGAAAGTGACACGTGTGTAAAAGGAATTCTGAAGATTGACGCGCTGCAGGTGGACCGTACGGACACGGGAGTTTCCCAAAATTAGGGTACCCTTTTGGGGTCCGAAAGCTCCATCCACCGCAGTGCAGAGAGCCCCGCGGTGTTCGAGCCCTTCAGGACCGCGATTGACCACACTCGCTCCAGGAAGTAGCTCAGCGTTGCCTGTCCAGGACTGTTTATGCTCGTTCAAGACAGCGGGAATTGCAATAGTAGACCATAATGGGATGATAAGAATGGCAACTACATCATCGCAATGTCGGAGTCACTGTCAGGCGTGGGCTGTGGATTTCTTCACATTGGCAAATGAAAGTCAGACATGGAAGTTTCTTAAAAGGGCCCCTAGACACCCCAAGGCTATCTAGGGAGTATGAGGCGGTCCCATTAAAGATTGTATAGGTACTATATTGAGACATTCCCACATTGTTCCTGCCAGGCCCACCAGCCCCACCACAGCCATGCCGCAAATGAGGATCATGAAAGCGAAGATGATCCCTAAACCCTAAACCCTAGACCCTAAACATGATGTTGATGAAGGGCACTGACCAGAATTGCAGCCTCCAGGCGGTAGGTGGAGCCGTGCCATATCCTCACAGTACCGTCCTGGAGCAGAAGCTTAGTAGTAGTAGTAGTAGCAGTAGTAGTAGTAGCAGCAGCAGCAGGAGCAGGAGCAGGAGCAGGAGTAGGAGTAGGAGCAGGAGCAGGAGCAGGAGGGGGAGTAGGAGTAGTGCGAAGAAAGATCTAGACTCCTTCTGGGTATGCACAGCTTACATCTCATCCTACTGCAACATATATAAGATTCAAGATGTCTTGCTCTGTGGACCTTCGTTTTGAGAAATGTACGCTGCTTACAACAACGGGGGGCTCCCAAAACAGATCCTTAACATGAGGTTCCTGGAAAAGCACCCACTTTCTTGAAGCCCCCAGTTGGAACGCAGTAGAGTTTCCTTTACAGCCAGACTAGCGTGTTGCAGCGCCGCAACCATGAAGTCCTCGCTGCCCGTCAGGATGATGGGCAAAGCGGGGTGGAACAGGGCCTTCGCTGCTGCGTGGTTCAGAGCTTAAATCTACAGCTGGATTGAGCCTCAGGGTTTTGAGTTTGAGCGTGGACCCCATTCTCATATAGGCTGTACTAGTATCCCCCTATAATAGTCCCAAATATAATATAACCCCCCTTTAACAGTTATCCCCTATATCACCCCCTTTGTGCCTTGAAGCAGTTTGGAGTATAGCTCTTATGTGAAGTCGAACTTTAAACTCTGGCATTTGAAGAAACACCTCTAGGTTGCAGGCCTGACAGTTCATACGCAGTTTAGGACTTCGTATTTAGGGTTTAGGGCTTAGGGCTTAAGGTTTGGGGTTTAGGGCTTAGGGTTTGGGGTTTAGGGCTTAGGGTTTAGGTGTAGGGTAGGAATATGCACACTTCTGACTGTATCGAAGTTTAAAAGGAACTACTTATGATACGGTGGATACAAAAAATCCTGCATGACCCTGGGTACCTCATACCCTGGGAATTGCAGTGCTGTGGTATACTAGGTGGATGTAGGTTTTTTAGTATCAAGCGTGTCCCATGTTTTGATTCCATTTTACAAGCCAGGTGACATAAGAGACGTTGTTGGTGTGGCCAGTCAACGTCTGGATGCACCTGCCACAAGCAACATTCCGGTTGAGGGGTATAGGGCTAGGGGTGTCCTGACATAGATGCTAGTGCTTTTATCACGTAAGGAATGACACGCCGGCAAGAATCTCCCCCACACTCATATGTTGTCCAAGATCCGAATGCAAGTGCTTAACAGTGAACACAAGTACATCGCGCCATCGCAATCATATGAAGATGTAGACATAATGGCAGCCGGCGCACTGTTTGGTCTGATAGTCCCAAATCTTGATGGTCCGATCGTCCGACCTGAGTGTGCTGGTTTAGCAGCGGAAGAAGAAGTGGAAGCGTCGTAGCACTGATAGCGGTAGTGGTCTACCTGGCAATGGTAGTTATACCTGGTACTTTTGGTGGTGGCGGCCATGGCCGTGGAAATGAGGACAAGACCAATGATGTCTCAGAACACCAGCAAGCCTAGTAGTTATTGGTAGTTGCTGTTGCTGTTGTCGTAGTTGTTGTTGCCGTTCAGTGAGTAGTAGCAGTGCACTAGCACTAGCGCACTGGCGGCAGCAGCAGCGGCAGCGGCAGCCTCAGCGGCAGTTGCAGTAAGGTAGGAGTAACAGTAGCAGTAGCAGCAGCATCAGCAGTACACCGCAAGCAGCAGCATCCTGCAATACTCATATCAGCAGCGGCTGCATTGTGTGAAACATCTGCAACTAAGCTTTACATCCTTTACCTTGGGGGATGGCCCTGTTGGAGCTCAGGGGAGCCGGACGCACAAAACCACTTGTTTCACACTTGCTTACTGGTTCTTAGTAGGGAATAAGGGATTATGTTACATAGGCTATATAGGGATTACATTCCCTTATGTCCTACTAAGAACCAGTAAGCTTGTGGCAACCCTGCACATCCTCGCCCACCAAGAATCACATCTTAACCCCCAAAGTCTGAATCCTGATACCCCCCGCCTAAAAACCTAAACCCTAAATCCTAAACCCTGAGCCCTAACCCTAAACCCCTGAAAGCGCGGCCCCCCTCCCTTTAAAATACTCAAATAGCCTAATGTAGATCCACGATCAATAAGCCCCCTTCCTTCTAAGGGCCTTAAGATTAGGATCCCTATTCTAGTACCTATTATTTAAGGGGAGGGTGTGTATTAATCAGGGGTATGGGTTCCCTTCACAACAAATCTGGACTTCAGAATGAAGACTCATTTCCCCTGGGCTTGCAAAGCCACATAGGATTCCTAGAGTAGGCATAAGCAAACATAAGCCTATGGTTGTCTGCATCTTACTTTTCCACTATCCCAATATTACCCCAACTTAACCTCCTTTACATCTCCCTATATGTGCTGTCAAAATCTGCTTGCCAAAGACATCTGCTCCGCTGCACGATTCTCTGAGATCGTTCCGGGCCCAAACAGGAACCCTAGCCAACAATGCTGTACGTGCCTTAGGCAGGCCTATACTCAGGCTTGTATGACACAACTGACACATTATCCCCACATGAGCTATAGTCTAAACTCCTAGTATCCCCCTTAATAACCCCTATAATAGTCCCCTATATAATTCCCCATATAAACCCCCTTTAAGGAGTTTAGACTATAGCTCACATGTCTGTACCCACTTCCACCCTTAAGCCTAAAACAAACTCTGAGATGAGGCCACTGCCCCGAGATGATATAAGGCTTCTCACCGCCTGGGGAATACCTGGCCAACTTACCATGTTTAGGGTTTAGGGTTTAGGGTTTGCATCATGGGTCTCAACTTTGGTGTGCGAGATTTACTGCCAAAGAAAGGGGGTTCTGAGCTCCGGGGATCAATGTTTGGAGGTTCCGATCTGTCAGGCTTTGGTTCAGGGATTAGGGCCAGAAGGTTAAGGCTTTATGAGCCATTGTCTAAAATCCTCGTATCCCCCTTTATAACCCCTAAGCCTATAACACTCCCCTGTATAGCCCCCTATATCAACCCCCTTTAAAGAGCTTAGACTATAGCTCTTGTGGTTCCGGGTGCCTGCTCGCCCAAGAGATGGAAGGCCTTGTGCGTTACCCTCCTGCTTGGGTAGCCTGTGACCCAGTGTGCAATATGTACGTAATCCCCCTGTGTCGCAAGTAATTAAGGCCTGAAAATGAAGAAATTTATTCTATAGGGATTATAGGCAGGAGTGTTATATTCCCTTGATCCCTACTAGCCACCAGTCAGTAAAACCTCAAACCACAAAACTTCCCACGGGGCACTCCACACAGTTCACACCGCGCTGGTGGCCAGTCAGAGTAAAGTGGCAGCTGCTTGTTCCACCTGGAAGATCACGTGAGAGGGACTTGGGAAGTACCCTAGACCGTAAACCCCAACCCTAAACCTTGGGCTGCGAGGAGGATATAGGGTTTTAAGACTCAGGCCAAGATACGGTTGACGGAGGGAATCTTGAATCGCCGAGGGTTCCTTGTTTACTGAACTTCAAAAGGGGGCTCAGAGTGATGCAGCGTTTTCTCCACCAACAGTGACCACCAACAGTTTGGCCTCTTGAGCCTTAACCAGAAAACACACCATCACCTTGTCCCTATGACCAGCGTTGTAGCGCATGAGGTGCAAGCATTGATTCAGGGAGCAATTTGCCTTCTCCTGACTACCATTGCGCTGTGCTGAACTACGCTGTCATTCCTCCCACGCGTACAACTCCTACCTGGCCGGGCGAAAGGTCGTGGAAAACGATAGCATAATGCAGAAGCCTGAATAACCATGAATGAAGGCTGGTCCAACCCACATATTTGATGTCTAACGCTTGTTGAACTAATGAGGTTACAATGTACTGTCCGTTGGCGCCCTCCACCTGCAATCTTGGAACCCAAAGAAGCTTCACAAAACCTCACGCATAAACCCTCTGAGCATTTCACCCCAACCACAAACTTCGCAAGACAGCCAAAAAAAAGGACCTCGGCCGCGCCTGCTCCTCCCGATACGCCCCAAACCTTTATGGAGCGGTCCAGGGAGCAAGAGGCAAAGATGTTCGTGTCCTGCATCAATGTTTAGGGCTTTGGGTTTAGGGTCCGTGGACGGGCCTAGAAAATCAGCATAAGGCGTTGGGGCCTCACCATATTAAAATTGTATATGCATTGTCAGGAGAGAATAACTCAATAGGCGGGGCTTCTTGGGTTGCAGCCCTGGTCTGCAGCAATGAGCGATGAAACATGTCTTCAATTGCAGGCATTGCTGATTGCTGACTACGCCATATTCTGTTCATCATTTTCATGAGTAATGTACATGATCAGAACAGTCATTGTTCTTGAGGCTCTTATTCTGGCAGCTGCTCCGAACCTATGACCCACATAGGCGCACGGCCACCACGGCCTTGGGGTTCCACTGGCACATCATCACGTAGTGCGCGTGCCCTTCAAAAGCCTGTGGGCAGCGGTCAGACATCTTACCTCGACTCCTCACGGAAGCTGCATCTGCCTGCAGGTTCTGCCAGTTCTTGTCCCAGTCCCACAGCCTCAGGAATAGCTGTGTCCTCAAAGCTCTGAAAGCGTTTCAAGTCGGAAGTTCCTGCTCGCTAAGTCTGCGACTTGATGGACATGTCATCCGAGCAGGACAGGAGGTAGGGCAGGGTCGGATGCACTGCAATATATCGAATGTAGTCCGTGTGCGCCTGGACACAATGAGAAAACCATGAGCTCTCTTGCAATCAGCTGGTGAGCTACCCAATTCGGCAACCATTTCACAAAGGCTGAATCCCATCTTCACATCGTGAACAGCAAGCAGCTTTCCCAACACATCCGGCCTCGAACTCATGGGCCTTCTCCAAGCTGTTGTAGTTGAAGACACGTATCTTAGAGCTCGGGACCGCAACGCGTCTGGTGACAAGCGGGGATAAAGACATATCGCATCACAAGGAGGAGTATGACTCACTACGCTGCGGGGATGCGCTCCAGAGTTCCCTGCTGCAAAGGCCCAGAGGAGAAGAGCTAACATTTGCCTGGCTTGAAGCATGAAGGAGCAGACTGGGGCCCACACGTGCATGTCATCAGAAGCCGTGGCGATCCACTGCTTCCGTGTCACGAACTTGGCACATCTGACTGGCAAATTGCAAACCTCAGCGGCAAGAAGTAGGATCTGCCAAAGCAAGCAGCACACTGCGACATGTGTACTACACGGGCCTAAATAAATACCAATACCATTCTGAGGTCCATTTGAGGTACCATATACGTACTATAATTATACAAGGGATATGGAACCATGATATTGGTACTTATTTAGGCCCCTATACTAGGAATGCAATTTTTTCAAAAGCAGTATGCCAGAGATAGGATCCCCATACTATCCTCGGCGCTTGCTTTAAGAAGCCCCCCCAAGAAAGTCCATGACTTGCTATCAGGGTTTAGGGTTTAGGGTTACTTGTTATCATACTTGTTATCCCCTAACCCAAACCTACTCTAAACCTTTAGGCTCTAAGCGGAGGCTGTCAAAATTGTGGTCCCTCTTTTGTAGATCTCACGGGCTAGATTGCATTGGGAACCCAAAGAGGGACCATCATGATGACATCCTATACCCTAAACCCAAAAAGATAAACGTTGATCCCTAAACCACAAAACTCGAGACCCTAGACCAAAACATTCTAAACCCTAAACCCTAAACCCTAAGCCCTAAACCCTACACCCTAAGCCCTAAACCCTAAGCCCTGAATTGGCACCTCGAACTGCTTGACCAAGGTCTGGGTGTTGTAGTCCCATATGAAGATGTTGCCTCAAAGAAAGGACTTTAGGGTTTAGGGTTTAGGGTTTAGAGTTTAGTGTTTAGGGTTTGGGATTTGAGGATCTTGCAGGGTTATACAGGGATTAGATGGGGATGGATACGATATGTAGGGTTATATGAAGATGTTGTCTTCAAAAGCACTTGAAATGTTTAAGGGTTCAAGGATCTAGGGCTATATCAAGATCATCTAGGCGTATAAACAAATATGTATGTATATATGTAGATATAAGGCTTCACTGAAGATGTCGCCTACAGTAGGCAGTTCCATGTCTTAAGGCAACAAATCCTCGTAATATGAGTTCCTTCCTACTCCCGTATACTACCCTCGCTTGAGGTCCCGCTTATAGCATAGCGGCTATAGCGGAGGGGGTAGTAGGGGTAGGGGACCCATGATCATAGATGTTCTTCAACACAAAGAACCTTCCTACAATGACCAGGGGGAAGAGACTGAAATTAAGGGCGTAGGATTTAAGACTACCAAAATCTGCTTCCGGCTATACACAAAGTAAAGCCTGCTCTAGCTTTACAACGACTGCAGAAGTACATGATGGGTACGGATTCCAGCTTCTCTCGCAACAAGAGACCCCCTTCAGGCCGGCCTGAATAAAGCGCTGACAGTGTCCAGGGCTCTGAGGGATGGAAGTCAACACATTTCACTCGGTCACTCCTGCACCAGGCACGGTTAAGAAGCAGAAATGAAGTGACAACGCGCATGTAGCTGGCTATCTACAACAACAACAACAACAACAACTACTACTACTACTACTACTGTCGTCATGGAGCTACTGGTATTGTTGCTACTGCTACTGTTGCCACGGTTGTTGCTGCTGCTGTCACTGCACTACCAGGATTACACCACCACCTCCTGCTGCTGCTGCTGCGCTACTGCTGGCTGCCGCCCCTGTCCATGCCGCTGCAGCCGCCGCAGCTGCAGCAGCTGCCACCACCCCACCGCCGCCCACATCTCTTACCAAAGGCAAAGGTGAGCATGCCAGGCACACTGGTGCTCCGTTGAGCGGTTTTCCACGTTCTGCTTTAGCATGCCCGTATACAGAATCTTAACTTTACGGGGGTATACAAGGACCCCCATACCGAGAAATACCTGTTAGACGCAATGTCTGGGAAAAACGTGCATACTGTGCTTAGCCATGTACTTGTCCTAGCACAGTATGAAACAAAATTGGAGCTATTATTTCTTGTTTGTCTAGCACTGGCAACAATCCTCAAACCAGCAATGTGCATCACAGTTACTCAAGACTATGAGCAGGATCTTGCGGGTTGCAGAACTAAGTACGCTGATGTTTGGCGGGAACAAGAAAGCCTGCTTCTCTAAGCATACGCAAATCTTAAATCCACATATAATCACCTAGCATGAGCCTCACTTCAAACTAAAACTGCCCTACAGTATGTAACCCCTATATCAGCCAAGTAAGAAACAGCCGCATGCAAGCAAGAAGGCCTAGCCGACAACTTCTTCTTGATGTCCAGCCGGAGCGGCATCCTGGCCTGGATCGAACAGTTACTTACTGGTGGGAGCAGGAAAGAAAGGAACATAATCCCTGTATGGAATAAGGAAGTAAGGTTAGGCGGGAATTGAGGTTAGCTTGCTAGTGTTAGTAGGGTTCAGGGGAAGGCAACAGAAACTGGATACTACTATGTTACTGGTGTGACTAGCAAGTTGAAATTTCAGGTTTCAGGCTTGTAGTTTAAGCTTCCGGGCTAAGCTTTATGGCGCACTACTTGCATAAGCCCATGCGCTGACTGCTGCAGGTATTGTTTATTTCTCATTTACTGTGTAAGCATGCAATGATCCACCCAAATTTGATGCTGGGAACATGCAACACAACGACGCGGTCCAGCGGACTCACATTTCTTGCACAAACGTACTTGGGCTCTTCCTTGGGAAGTCCATACTTCACTGAGGAACCGGACCTTCCAGAAAGAATCAATCTCCATAAGGCCCAGCAGAACCCCTTTGAAACAGATAATGGGGCCTGAAAAACCCATACCTCGAGCTCTCGCCTTGAAATTACAAGTCCAAGTTGTGTATAAACGTGCAGTGTGACCAGGGAACCCAACCCACACTACAGAAGCTGGAAAATTCACCAACATCGTCCACCAACAACCCAGGTTCTACCATAGTTTAATATACCCCAACCCCTTGCATGTATGAAGCCAGCTTCCGTTTCATTGCCCAATCTCTTTTGCATTTGACTCTTCAGTACTCTCGTTGTTTTTGCCCCTAAAGACTCAAACCTTTATGTCCGCATATATCCCTTTACGTCCCTTGAACGCCTACATATCCCTACCTATTCCTATGTATTCCATATGTATCTATTTATGTCCGTTTTTATCCCCACAAAACCCTTAATCATCCGAACCACTTAAAGCCCTAACATACCTTTCCTGAATCCTAAATCCTAAGCCCCAAACCCTTAACCCTCGACCCTAAACAGTTTAGGAGTTAAGGTTTACGGTCTAGGGTTAAGGGTTTAGGATTTAAACTTTGGGTTTGTGATTCAAAGGCTGAACGTATATCTCAAACCCTTAGCCCTAAATCCTAAACGACAAAATACCCACTCTTAACCCTAGACCCTGAATCCTGAACCATAAACCCGTAGCCCCGAGCCCCAAACCCTAATGACCCTAAACTTTACATCCTAAGCCCCAAACCGCCAAACCCTGAGTAGTGGTTTCCATTTTTCCGTCATCCCTATATAACCCCTATATAGTTATCTCTAAATAACCCCTATATAGCTTTACTAATCATGTTTATACATTAGTCCAAATGATGACTTGCTATCCCCTAAACCAAGCCCTACTCTGAATCCTTAAGCTTTAAATAGGCCCTATGCAAGCCCTATATAAACCCTTGTATAACCCTATTAATCATAGTCCCAAACGCTACCCCTAAACCGTAAATCTTAAACCCTAAACCCTACATCCTAAAGCCTAAACCCGCCCGGCACTTCTCTCACTTGTCTTTTGGGGTAGGCGGGCACTGGTCGAGCGCTCAGTGAGACCCAGCGAAGGAGCCCCAGGCGGGCGACGGAGCGGGCCTCTAGGCTGGTTCCCCTTCAAGCAAACAAAGACCGAGTCAGTAAATTGTCCCCGATTATACGTCAATCCGGCGCAAAGCGTCTCCTGTTTTGTCCGTCTGGGGGGGGGTTCTGGGCTTGTGGCTGCGGCGGGATTCTGAAGCCCGCCAAAAAGTTCAGCCAAATCTACGCAATCAGGGCGCTTTTACTGCGTGAGCCAGAACGTCCTCTGACGTCAATCAAATCTTGCTTGGAGCACATGGCCTCGCCTCACATGTCTCCCAGACTTATTTCAAGCTTTTCACTCACGCCTTGTCACGCCTTGTCCCGCCCCCAAGGTGTGTCGTAGGACTTCTTGCGGGCAGCACGACGTGACCCAGGGCGGGCTGGAACCATGAGAAGACCGAAGTGAAGTTCCCCTCACGCAAACCCTACATTTGTTTTAGCGAGAAATACCCAGCCAGATCTGGTGGCAGCACACATGACAATCTATGACAGGGCCCTTCGGCCCAGATCGTCCCCAGACGCAAACTTGAAAGTATGTTTGATGCATTTCGGTATGGGTGAATAGGCAGTTTTGAAGAGCAGCCAATACCCTGAGAGTAATAAATGGATGGTCGTGGTGGCGTGATGAGGACCATGGCGCGTGCATAGTTCTGTTAGTCTGGACCAGCGAGCCCAGTTGCTTTCCTTGCCGCGCATTGATGCCGCAAGGCCATGTTTGGAAGATAGCTGAAACCCTCAAAACCCTGAGAGTAGTACTTGGGTGGCCTTAGGGTGGGTTAGACTGGAGACTAACGCGTGCTCACAAATAAGCCCTACACCCTAAACCCAAAATCCTGAACCCTAAACCCTAAGCCCCAAACCCCAAGCCCTACCCCCTTTTCTTGAGGCTGAGACTCGCTGGCCGCGAGCGAGCTGGGCCGCTCGGTGCGCGCTCAGAGCAGGAAGCCCCAGGCGCAGTTTAGAGCTGAGCCCAAACGGCCCCCAAGGGTTCAGAGTTAAAGGTTTAGGGTTCAGGGCTTAGCATTAAGGGTTCAGGGTTTAGGGTTTGGGGTTTAGGGTTCAGGGTTTATGGTTTGGGGTTTAGGGTAGGGTTCAGGGCTAAGGGTTTGGGGTTTAGGTTTGGGGTTGTAGGGTTCAAGGAGCTGAGGCACGACAGTTACCAATATGGACTTCTGAAAAATGGAAAATGAAAAGGAAAAAGGACATGCAAACTGGGATCATGTGGGGATTCTATGGCTTACATGATGGAGAATGAAACGGAAAGGCAAGTGGAACATGAAATGGAAGCTGCTTCTAGACAAGGCTTAACAAAGGGATGGTATGCCATGTATGCCCCATTTGCCCCGCAGCACCACGAGTTTCAGGCTTAGGGTTTGGGCGGGTTTTGGGGGTTAGGGTTTTCGGATGTAGGATCTGGTGTTTCAGAATCTCAGGTTTTGTTGGGTTTTGGTTTCACGGTCCGGTGTTTTTTGACGATCTTCACAACAGCCAAGGTTTAGGTTCTATGTGCTCCTTAGATCTTACGTTTCTCCCAGCCTTCACCAATTGTGGAAGACCTTTCACAAACCTTGCGACCATTACGAAAGACTGGAACTATGCCCACGCTGCGCTGCTGGCAAAAGGCAGGTACAGAACCTCAGAGCTCCGGTAGGTTGCGAGGAAACCCCGACCTCAAACCCTAAGACTCTAAGTGCTAAAGCCTCAAATTCTTGCTTCTGTCAATTGCGCTCTACTTGAAAGTTCACAAGACTCAGCGAGCATCTACAAATCAGCTGATGCCCCAGCTCATACGTACTGTAACCCCTCCTAACTTGCTGAATATAAGCTACCCCAACTGCGAGCAGAAGCTTCTCAAAATGATTACTCCTCGGTCCCCCATAAACCCCCCATTTTGAAAACCTAAACCCTAAACCTACACTCCTTAACCCTGAACCCCCAGTGTGGGGCTACGATCTCTTGGGGGGCAGCTGCGCCTGAGCCTGTGTCAATCGGAAGAGCAGCCTGGCACGGGAAGGTTTGTCGGATCCACCAACATGGCGTAAGGTCGCAGGCTTTGGGGTTTTAGGATTTAGTGTTACTTTTGTATTTTAAGTTCTCCCTCCATTACAAAAGTATTTAACTGCTGTTACCTATCAGTGCTACGGTGTGGACAGGGTTGTTTGTGGTGGAGGGAATTATTAGGGCCTGGAGGCGGAGCAAGTTTTTTTTCGCATCATGGCACATTGTGATATTCCCTGCCAAGGTCACACAACAACGCCCACCCCCTGCTATTCAGTATTCCCTACAGAAACCCAGATATACTCGGGTAGAAATATATGTTTTGAATATATGCATATGTACATATATATATATATGTGTATATATATATGTGTATATGTATATATGTATATACTTGTACATATATGTATGTATACATATACATATATATAAATGTATATCTATATTTAATGTAAGGCCCTAAACCCTAACCTAAGAAATCATCAGATTTGCGCCCACAGGCCAGAGTGGCTGGTCTCGTTCACCGTAAGTTGACAGGCCTTTGGCCTTCAACCTCTCCTGATGCCATAGTACGGGCTGAAGGGTTTAGGGCTTGGGGTTTAGGGTTTAGGGTTTAGGGTTTAGGGGTTGGGGTTGAGGGTTTTAGGGTTTAGGGTTTTGTACCGCTTTAGG